AATTAGATGATAGAGCGGAATACATTTTAAGCAAAAGAACAGGGACGATATTCTTTTTAAAGACAATTTGTTACACCAGTTTTAAACGAATTAGATCCTGATTCTGATTGGATTACCTGTATGGATTGATTTATTAGGAAAAATTGTGTGCACACATCATGTCGGAATCTAGACTTCACGACGTAGGGTTTGGCCCATAGGAAATAATCTGATTCAGATCCAGTGCCGTGCTTTAAAAAAAAAATAAGTATAATGAATCGATGGAAATATTATATGTGAAAGAATTTTCTCTTTATGATTTTAGATGAGAAATATTTTTAAAGATATTGCTTGTAAAAAATAATGGAAGTGTTTCTGACAAGGGGCCAATACTATTAGAAATATTGTACTAACGTAGGCCTACCTGCCTTAACGTGTCCGTGAGGCACATGGAGGCCGTGACAGTTAGAAATACAGTAGTGGCATTTAAATGTGTAGCATGGAAGAAAGCTTATTTCCTCCAAGGTAGGCCTAATTATAAACCGGAGAAACTTGTGATTGAATTGTGATTACCGTCACGAGTGTCAAGTTAGGATACAATAGAAAATCCAACAATTAATCTATGCTGTATATACATGCTTGACTGAACACACTACGATGTGAATGAGGATGTACCGTACTGTATTTGCATATAGAAAATCTGTTCTATTTCTATGGTATTTGTTTTTATTATTATTACTATTATTACTACCAGTGTTGTTGTAGGTGTTGTAGTAGTAGCAGCAGTAGTAGGTTTTAGTACTATAGTGCTTTATTTATATCAGTCGTTATGCAATCTGTTTTTGTAGTATTGTATACTAGTTAATTTCCCTTTTAAAAACCTAGAATGCATCCAACTTAGTGTCATGTTTGCAAGTACTGAACTCTAGTCTCGTTGTCGTCGTGTGCACGTGTGTCCTTTTGAACGTTATTTTCTTGGCAACATTTTACTGGAAGAACATTGAGGAAAATGAGCTAATGGAGAATAAGAACCTAAATGGAGGAAACCTTAACGCTGATCAGAGGTACAATCCATATGAAACTTTACTTTGAAATACTATGGTAATGCTAAACAAATGTAATTCCCCGCGCAAATATCCAGCCGAGTACTGCACTGTAGCAGACTGTGTCATACACAATAATAATAATAATAATAATAATAATAATAATAATAATAATAATAATAATAATAATAATAATAATAATAATAATAATAATAATAATAATAATAATAATAATAATAATAATTATTAATAATAATAATTACAATAATAATAATAATAAATAATAATAAATAATTAATAATAATAAATAATTAATAATAATAATAATAATAATAATAATAAAAATAATATACTGCATTCGTTCTAATAATTCATCTCCTGTTCATGCACACGGCACAGACAATCTTAGAACCACAGTCAAAAGCATTATTTGAAACAAACACACTTAAATATTTGATTATTTAAAACATTGCACATGAAGTATCAATTGCAGTTTAGAAACCCGGCAACGCCTATGTCATCACTCCGCTATTTTATTAAATTATATCTTAACATTTCTTGATCGATAACGCGCGATAAGGTGAAAAGGCTGCATTAAAGGCAATGTCCAAATTTAATTCAATGTAAGCCCGACATTATCAAGGTATTGTATATTTAGCCGGTAGTACGCATTACACAGCCATTTTGAGATGATTCGTGTGGGTGCTTTACAACCTTAACCTTATATACAGGTAAATTCGTGTTTTAGCCGGTAAAGCACTTAGTTTTTGTTTATTGATGACTACTAAATTCAATGGATTGACAACACTAGCCTAATAAATTCAAATTAATCACATGTTACTCGAAAAATAATGTATTTGCTGTAGGCCCTAAGCGATCTTTTTTGGACATAGGAATAATCAGCATTGCATCCAACATGTTATTAAACTGCAGTTGAAGTCGCCTCGGTCTACAAAAAAAATTTTTTGTCATGTTTTAAATTTGTTTGATAGCTACATTGATTTACAATCAATGAACAAGATGTGTATAAGAGACAGGGGACATAGAACAAAATATTCTCTAATATTGTTTGCAGGCAAAAAAATAAATAAACGATAATAAACAAAATTCCTACAGTACCTACTGAAAATTAATATAATTTTTTCTCTACAGGTTATGGAGTCTAAAAAATGACGCTTCTAGTGGACTAATGATCTTTACCATAGCAACGACATTCTGTGACCGGATTTCTCTTTACGGATTTTATCCATTCCACATTGGCCCCCATGGTGACAGTCTACCATACCATTACTACGACAGGGGTACGTGGAAAGGTGTGCATAATCTGGAGAGCGAATACCAGGTATTCCAGAAATTACACAATGAAGGAATAGTTAGACACGTGACTGATAAATGCAGGTGACGTAATGGATCAGGCTCGTCGGTAGACAGGGCCTTGTAAAAACAACCTTGTTTTATTGCTGCGAAGCAGCCAATTCATATTCTTGACAGCAATTTGACCTCTGAAAGGTCATTGTTTGTCAAAAGACGAGTGCCTAAGACGACTGAAAAGCGGAGTTTCCCTCTTTCGTTCTGCCGGGTAAAATCAATTACTTTAGGCGAGGTTTGTAGACTAACCTACTCGTACCAACGTCATGTCGCGCTAGCCTTATCCTACTCTAGGCCTAGACTAGCTAGGATGGTATAGGCCTAGCCTTGAAGGGACGAAGGTCCCAATGAAAAACAACGTCGCTCTTTGATAGCTAACATTGTCTATTTAACATCACAATAATTCATTATTAGACCTATAGTAGTTTTTTGAATTGTACTCCACAACTCTCAGCCGATACCTCGCACAACTGGCCAACGTCTCTATCTATTGTCGTGACGTCATGGCTCGCTGGCTCACACTTGTGATATGTCTCGCACTTGTGATCAAATAACACGCTGGCTCGCACTTTGGCAACACTCTTTGGCAGTCAACTCGCCCCTAGAAAACCCGCCCTTGGAAAATTGCCCCATAAAAAATGTACACTTCCTAGACCATGCAGTCTTCAAAATAAAACTTGTAACCTTTGGTAATCAACTACATTTTCCACATACATAGAAATTTTTGAAACTTTATTTAAAAAAACCTAAACCATAATTCACCACACTATAGACACTTTTTGACAAAAATGAAAAATTACTAATGTTCTAATATAGACAATGGGTCGTGTCTCATATTATTTGTTACATAGTTTTATTATTCATTATTTTCACTTGACTCGCATAAATAATTTTGTTCGAAGAACATTTATATGCAGTTGTACTTCGCAGCACTTCACTGCATGCAATTTGCAATTTCTAGTTTATATTTATTCATGTATAAACAATTTCAGTAAGATACGAGGTTATGACAATTTATAAGATTCAATTAATATAATGAACAACAAATGTGGCTCTTCTGTGTTATTTAATTCTCATTTCAGACCGAATGACTGACCATTTCAGAGTAGAACCGATGTACTATAAACTCATTATGGAAAAAAAAATTGAAAGAAGTTCTTTAGTCTTGAAGAAAAACGCGTTCCCGTAATCTCGAAAGATACGATGAGAATCTAGTGGCCCTAACGGCCGCCCATACAGAAAAGATTTATTAATCAATCGGCCGAGTGATTCTAGTGGCCCATACAAAAAAAGATCTATTATCTATCAGTAAGGTACAGTTAGAGCTGCTCATCGAAGCCAAAATAAAGACTAAAAATGTGTAGAATTGGCAAGTTAAGTCGCACATGTGTGTACGCTGGTGGTGCCAAATCTGCTGTGGCGGCAAATTAGTTCCACATTAAATTTTTATTGGAATTTATATTTAGTTCTCAATTTCGCACTCCCCCCCCCCCCCCCGTAGAAACCCGGCAACGCCTATGTCATCACTCCGCTATTTTATTAAATTATATCTTAACATTTCTTGATCGATAACGCGCGATAAGGTGAAAAGGCTGCATTAAAGGCAATGTCCAAATTTAATTCAATGTAAGCCCGACATTTTCAAGGTAGTGTATATTTAGCCGGTAGTACGCATTACACAGCCATTTTGAGATGATTCGTGTGGGTGCTTTACAACCTTAACCTTATATACAGGTAAATTCGTGTTTTAGCCGGTAAAGCACTTAGTTTTTGTTTATTGATGACTACTAAATTCAATGGATTGACAACACTAGCCTAATAAATTCAAATTAATCACATGTTACTCGAAAAATAATGTATTTGCTGTAGGCCCTAAGCGATCTTTTTTGGACATAGGAATAATCAGCATTGCATCCAACATGTTATTAAACTGCAGTTGAAGTCGCCTCGGTCTACAAAAAAAATTTTTTGTCATGTTTTAAATTTGTTTGATAGCTACATTGATTTACAATCAATGAACATTATAACTCTCTTTCTTGCTTGTCCTTTTTTCGGTTATTAAGATTAAATAATTATTTCGTATTTAAGAAAGTATAATACATACTCCAAGTATTGAAATACACGCCATCGTGTTGGGATTCAATATTTC